CCTTTTCTCGAATAAATAAATTCAACAAAAATTGTCTTCAAATAACAAATACAAAACAAAAAAAAACCAATAAAGGTTTAATTGGTGGTCACAATAAACAATAAAAGGTTTAATAAAGGTTTAACTCCTTCTTGAGCAACAATTTGTTTAAATATACATTATACAAATTCATGTTTCTCCAACAGATCCAGGAAGAATAGTCTCTGCTGAGGTAGAAACTAATGGGGTCCCTATACAATAAAGATAAAAATAAAGATTAACCTTATATATTCAAATCCACTATTTGAAATTTGCTTCTAATCAGCCAGAGCTTCTTCCAATTTCTGTAAATGGTCTTGATAAGTAGTATCAGCATCAGGCCTGATACCAGCATTTTTACAAGTACTCGTACCAAATGYTCCAATACTTGGGATTAAGTACTCAGTACTTGTGCTCGTACTTGGTATGAGAAAAACTGGTATCAGGACACCCCTAGAAATGACTAGTAGTAACTTTTGTCATAACTTGTCACAAAAACATATTCTCATTTATGTAGATGACTTTACGATAAATATAAATTTGAATTGCCTACCTTCCAAGGAGGGTACCCAACCCTATCAACAGAGCTGAGCACCACTATGAAAATTGACACCAATGTCATTGAAGGTTCCCCTACTAATGCCAAGTAGGGGTCTCTGCAGACGAGTGTGGACGAGTGGGCGTGTCCCAAGGAAAGGCTATTCTAAAGCSACWCACCTGATTTGACGGACTTTGTTAAAGGGACACACCTGACTGGACAAGTAAAAAAGGGGCGACACCGTACGGCACCACCTCATTGGACAAGAACAAAAGGGGCRTYACTGTAYGGCACCACCTTTTCTGGAGAACCCTRCTTGGGTCACATTTCTCCTGGTTAACCTTAGTGTTGGGGTCAGGGTCAGGATGTAAAGACATCAASCAGKATCTAAGGATACCGTCATGTAGGCCTCGTAGCCCACAGTGTTAATGCTTTTGACAYGCCCACTCTTGTGACACGCCCACTTTGATTCCACAGCTAACCCCTTGTCACTTATGCTGGAGCGCTAAGATGTAGCTTTAGTAATGTAGCGATAACACCAACTTCCAACCCTGGAAAAATGCCCTGCCAAGATCAATAATGTAGGGGGAACACTATGTTATGGGCATGAGCGTGTGTAGCTGCTGAGCTGTGGAATAAAGTTCTGCTGGATGCTGATTGGCTCTGGCAGATGKTACCAGAYCACCACWGTAAGCAGCTGTTCAAACTGGAAGCCAGAATCATGCACAGAAAACTAACTCTAAGCTTCTCTGTAGCTCCGAAGACCTTGACAAAAATGGCTACCCATGTCATAGTAAACAAGGAAGTAAATTTTAGAAACAAACACTAAGGCTAAATAGAGACTTGTTGATTAAATAAGTTTGTATCGTACATTCAGTTAATCACAAAATATCAAACACCAGCTAACGAATTGTTCTTTGTGACAACCCCAACACGTCCTGAACATTTCATGRAAACCCGTTCAGAACTTTTTGAGTRATCTTGTCCACAGACAGACAAACAAACAAACCAACGCYACTGAAAACACAACCTCTGTGGTGGAGGTAACGACASTGCTTGACACATAAAACCATAAAACAATGCAAGGATGAAGAACAGTTTAAAACTTCTGCACAGTCGTAAATAACGGAGTTTTTCATGTTGCTATTAGGATGAACTGTTCAGACCTACGACGTTTAAGACGCCACTGACCAGACACTGGTTCAGTTTCTGGTTTTACTAAACTCAAGACAAGAAATTTGCAGAAAACAAGAAGTATAGGAGCTTCATTGTTTGGCTGAAGAACCCAAAAACTTAATATGAGAAACCAAAGTATAATCAGTTAACCACACTGTGGGAGGGATGGTGATTAAAATACCACCATAATGACAAACATATGGACTATAAAACTTCCATCCTGTTTATYCTTCAGACATACAGAGCGTCCTCAGAGGGTTCTACACAAGAACTCATGGTCTAAATACGTGTTCCATAAACTGCTCCAGAAACGTCAACTTGTGTTTATTTAACAAAACTCACAGAATGTTTTTTWAAGTTAAAAATAAAAAGTAATCTCTGATATCATCTCTCAGAATTCCCTCGCCGTCACGTTTTGCCATAATCAGTTCAGACTCATTTCTCTGGCCTTGTGATCGGCGGTGCGCTTAAACTTCAAGGTTTAAGATTTAACTTTTACATTTAGATTTGGGGTTTAATATTTAGACATATTTTTTAACATTTAAATTGAACATTTTGTAAAAATGAGCAAAATGTAAGAACAGTGAGCTATATCAATGCAACTATTAACGAATATTCTGTCATTCTGCACAGGATGGACCATGTTGGTCAATAAATGTTACGAAATCTTAGGTTTTAAATGGCAAACAAATAATAATTTTTTTCTTACACAACTGAAAAGACGTGTTTTTGAAATTCTATTATTACATTATTATAATTATAATTATTATTATTATTATTATTATTATTATTATTATTTTACCCTGTTCATATAAAACAGTGAGGAATGACTTAATTTGACTCTAACTGCAGCAGATTAACTCATAATCAATAATATAACAATTTACAGCATATTATGTTATTTGCTCTGACTTGCATTTCTAAAAAGAATAGTCAAAATTGATCAAAACTTATTTGCAGATTTGCGTTGACACTATTTTATACAATTTGTTTACTTTCTGATTCAACTGTTTGTGGTTTTAACTGTGTTTGGTGGATGAAGAAATGCCTTTAGACAGGATTCTGATGTTTCTGTGGATACCAAACAGGTCAGTGTTCAAATGATGGATCTTAGCAGAAATAGAAAACAGGAAGTACAATTTTGCCCCCAGGAAGAGACCATAATGCCTTTTAGAGCACAGCAGAATTTGAACCAACAAACCAGCTGACCACCTAGTTTGACCTGCAATTTAGAAGCTAAAAAGGTTTGAAAGACTAAACTGGAGTAAACATTTAGGTCAAGGATGGGCAAAAGGAGGCCCACAGGCCACATACGTAGTCTGTGAGTAACTTCTGTCTGGCCTGCAAAAATATATATATTTTTTTATTTACTAAAACAATGCATTCAAAGCAGCTCTTAGAATCTAAGAGTGTTTTTTAAATGGGGGTGTTATGTATTTTCCAGGTACTATGTGCCTGGAAAATACATACTTGATTCTACCCCACAATCAAGTAACTATATTACCTTCAGTTGGTATGAAAATGCTGAAAATATCAAAAATAAATTTGACTTTGCATCATAACCACTGGGTAAGTGTGCAGTGCTACGTGGCCCTGGTAGTGTCAACAAAAAACTGTGGCCCCCTCCATCGTTTGAGTTGCCCATCCCTGGTTTAGGTGGTAACTGAAGGCACCATTTTGTGGTAGAAAAGACCAGGCATGAATTGTCTGCCAACAGAGCTGTGATAGTGTTTGTAACGTGACTTCAGACAAGCTCGGCGTGTCGTGGTGTTCGTTCATTATTCAGTTTACATCATCAGAAATAAAGATGCACCAATAAACTCTGCATGATTCAGCCTGGGAGACACATAATGGGGCTGTTAGTGGTTTGTGACGGTGAGAGACGCTATAAACCAGTAACGGTGATGCTATGAGGACATGTGTAGTAAACATTAAGTCTGTGTGGAAATGTAAGTCACAGCAGGAGCCACAGATGATGCTGGGTTTAACCACTTACCTCGCTCTTTCTTTTCCTTTGAAAAGGAGTCGAACCTCTTGCGTAGAGATTTCCTTCGCTTGCGTATTTCTGCGGAACAAAGAGCGAGTGAGTAAAATATTTGTGTTTTATACAGAACAGCCGAGGTTTACGGTTAATGGGACGGCGATGTCCGTCTTTTATCATAAAGCACAAATTTTTCCTTTGAACAGCTCCTTCCTGTCACATAAAGACTTTTGGCCTCAGAACGACCTTTCTCTCTCTCCTCAGCGATAACATCTACGACAGACAGTAAAACTTCATTAGACAGGCTGCAGTTTGGTTGGACAACTTGCTTTGTCTAATGACAACATGAAAAATAGCTCGTCTGGCATATATAGACAGAAAGTGATAAACACATTCAGAAGCGTGTTTAAAATGAACACAGATACTCAGAGCGTGCTTGTGTAAATCATAGAAGAAGAATTGGTTTATTTATCATTTATTTAATGGCGGTACTGTATATTGTTTTGGGATCAGCTGTTTTAATGAAACTCTTGGAAAGGGATGCAACCCCATCGGATGTTTACCTGTTGACCCACAGAAATGTGTAATTTTCAAAAAAAAAATATCCGTAGTACTGTCACGCGATACAATGGGGGTGTTTGAGTGTAGTGACGGCCACAAAAGAAAGAAAGATTGTGGGGTGGAGATAACTGACTGTAACGCTGAAGAAACGGTGATGGTGGATTTATTTCCTTACACCATGCCAGCTCTGAGGCTTAAATACATTTGAAGCAAAGTTATTTTTTTAATACGTAAGCTTGCCCTATACATCTACATACATGCAAAATGGGGTCAAATCTTTAATTTACGGACAGTCCATACAATATGAAATGTATGTGCAGCATATTTAAAATGACAACCCCAACTATTCAACCTTAGCAAACACAAAAATGATTGTAATTCAGTTAATTTTCTGGATATTTAACTCAAATTTGGTGTGGTAGTAGTTGAGAATCATCCCAGACACGTACTCTAACACACTGGTTGACAAACCTTTCTGGTTTTGAACCCACTGGATACCAGTAGCAGAGACCTGTGGCCCCAACTGTTTTTGATTGGTAAACATTGATATCAGGTTAAATAAACAAASTAACAATATTCATATCATTCATTTTTAAGTAATTTCGCTTATTTGGAACAACCAGGGCCAACAACGTTTTCTAAGTCATCATTTTTCAATGTGATTAAATCAGAAAATCTTTTCAGGACCCCACCTTGATGTTTCAGGACCCCACCTTGATGTTTCAGGACCCCACCCTGATGTTTCAGGACCCCACCTTGATGTTTCAGGACCCCACCTTGATGTTTCAGGACCCCACTGTGGGTCCTGACCCCAACTTTGGGAAGCACTGTTCAAACACAAACAAAAAAACTTAAAAAATAAATAAATAATGCTAGTGAACGGGTGATATTCATTCCTTTAAAGAAACCTGTTTCTCTTTGTAATCTGATTTGTCCATGTGTAAACTCTAAGCTTCGACATGTTTGAGTAAATTCTGTTAATCTGTTCTTCTTGTTCCTTGAGTTTATCTTTCAGTGTTATTTCATTCGCGTTTAATGTTTTATTTTCTTCTTCTTCTCCTTCTATATAGGGTTCATTAGCGGTTTGCAAAAAAACTTTAGGTGTACACTACCACCACCAACTGGAAAGGAGTGTGGACTGAAACAACTTATTAATAATAAAAAATACTCATATCCTATCAAGTAATTGAGTCAATCTCAGATAATAAATCAAAGCTTGAGAACTGTCAGATACTGAGTTTTGTTGTAAAATTTCAAATGGATTTAATCTCATTTTCATWTCATCAAGTCTATTAATTAATTGATCTCTTTCATTTCTGTACTTTTGACAGTTTACCAGAATATGTTCTACGGTTTCATCTCCTCCACAATCACATTCACCAGTATCATGTTTCCCTATTAAAAAGAGAGTACTSTTTAATCCTGTATGTCCAAATCTAAGACGTGATATAACTATCTCTTCCCTTCTGTTTCTTTCAGCACTTCTCATCTCTCCTACTTTCCTCTGAATCCTATAAAACCATCGACCTTTTCTTTTTTCTTCCCATTGTTTTTGTCACTTTTCTCTCATTTTCTTTTTTATGACACTTTTTCCTTCTGTTTGACTGACTTTGACATCTATCTTGACTAAAATATGTCTAGTAGCCTCCTTTGCTACTTTGTCTGCCCATTCATTTCCTCTAATACCTACATGTGCTGGAATCCATGCAAATATGGCATTTAACCCCATCATTTTAATTCTAAATAATGTTGTATTTCTATCAAAATGTCTGGTCTACTTTCTGAAAATTTGTTTTTAATACTAATTAGTGATGAGCTGGAATCTGAATACACTATTGATCTTAATGGCYGATTATCTTCAATCCACTGAATAGCTAATAGTATTGCTACCATTTCCCCTGTATATACTGAGACATTATCACTTATCCTCCTTCCTGCTTCCACACAAAACTCAGGAATTATGAACGCTACAACAATTTGATCTTTTATAATATTTGATGTATCTGTATATACTTTAACATATCCATAATATTTACAAATATTTCTGAATTTAAATTATTTTTATTTTCTAATAATTCCATGTCTACTAGTGAATCTGTAAAATGTTTTATTTTCCTCTCTTTTGGGGGTCTTTATTTTTGAGTTCTTGTGTCATTAGTTCTGTCAGTTCCTGCTCAAGCCCCGCCCACTCTCACCTGATCCTCTGTCTCTCCCCAGGTGTTTGTCATTTCCCCCTCCTTAGTGCCCTTTTATATGTGGTGATTGTCCAGGCATTACAAGGGTTTTTGTTCCCCCTGTCTGCCTGAGTTTTTGCTCTTCTAAATTATTTTCAGATGCTATGTCAGCCTTAGTTTCATTATTATTTTTCAACTCTGATTCTTTTTTGAAGTTTCTCTCCAAACATGAAAAACAGTCAAGAAAAATCCTCTTTGGTAGCACCAAATAATTGTTTGTGTTTTATTATAAAATTTATTCATGACTCTTGTGTCTAATTGACCAGTTTTTACTTCTCCTCCAGCAGCTGACTGGTTGAGCTCCGCTGTTTGTCATCTTCTCGTTAACTTCGGCTCACTTCTCTGTTTTCTACCTCCTCATCGATGCACTGTTGGATGTCATGTCACAGTCCGCTTCCTTTGAGGTCTATACTGTTGTTGTGATCCTTCACCCTGTTACGTTTTTGCTGCCTCAGTCATTTTATTATGAAGAAAAAACAAAACAATTTAAGCTCATTGGGCCTCATGCAAGAACCGTTCGTACGCAAAAATTTGTTCTCAAGTTGTGCGTACGAGTGATTTAGGAGAATTTGTGGCATTCACCAATGTTTTCGTATTCTACGATTTTTTTCAGATACGAACAAAATTTACGAGTGGTCCAGACCTGTCGTAAATTTTACGAGCAGTCAGTCTGCTGTTATCCAGACGGGTTTTCTTCACTAATAACTTTATATTTACTTAGTTTGAAGATATTTTGAGTTGAAAATAAATCACACTCCATAATTATGTTGACAATAGGCTATTCTGCTTGAATTAGAGTTATAATTTTAAATGTAATAATTTAGACTAACAATATAAATTGTCCGTCCTGCCGGCTTATCCGGGATCGGGTTGTGGGGGCAGCAGGAGACCCCGCTCTCCCCAGCGACACTTTCCAACTCGTCCTGGGGGACACCGAGATGTTCTCAGACCAGAGGGATACATGATCCCTCCAGTGAGTCCTGGATTTTCTCCAAAGTGCCAGACATAATTTGAAAACATTTTAAAATGCTTATTTCAGAACCGCATCCGACACCACCTGCGACCGCGCGTGGGGTGGGGGTGTACGGTGCGCAGCGCTGCTGCTTCTGAATAAATGAAAATGATTTAACACAGTTGTTTATACTTTTAGCAGCTCTTTTTATTCCACAGCTGACCTGCTAAAAATGACAGATTTTATTTTCTGGATCTCTGACAGACGGACTTCAATCTCTGAACTCGTAAAGTTCTTCTTTTTAATTTTCGCTGTCATTTTCATGAATGGACACTTCCTGATATCTGAGGCAGGAAACACAGCCTTATATGGTGTTTTTGGGGTGGTAATTATGCTAATCTCCTCTCGCGTGCACGAGCAGCTGGATAGAACAGGTGGAATTTACGCAGCTCATTTACACACTTTTCCTGAAGATAGAAGAGTTTGTTGAATCTGACGTGACATGTTCGTACGAACCCTTTGTACGAACTAAAGTAAGAGAAATTTAGGAGAAGAATACGAACATGTTCCTGCATGAGGCCCATTGAGTTCTGTCTCCATTCTGGATCCAGCCAATAAATTCCAGGCATAGGCATATTGATTAAAATATTGGTTGTATCGATATCAAGGTGAGCGTCTGTATCGGATCGATAGCAGCTGAATGAGATTTATACTTGACACTTTATTTGTACTACTGACTTTGACTTTCACATATTAATCAAGAATAAAGCCATTTGGAGTTACTTAGCTGAAAGCATTCGGATTCCTCATGCCCATGTATGAAGGTATATTTTGTTTTTGTTGACATTGTTGATTGTTGTATATTTTTGCGCACCTTTTTTTTTTGCACTGGTGGTTTTTTTTTACTAAACAATTGTAATATAAGAATTATTTTATTATTGATATACTGTTATATACCCACACAGGAAACAACAAATGAAGGCCCTTTAGTGGCGCAGATGTGGTTTGCCAGAGGTGGTCCATGCATGGGGCCAGCACCACATAAACCAAACCACAACTGGACCAGTTGTTGCATGCCATCTGAAAACAGTGCCACCAGTTGCCAAACCTGGCCCACATCTGTTTGACAAACCTCTTGTCATGCCAGCAGTGCTAGCTGGACACCAGATCTGGCCCGCACCTCTGCTTTGTGGGATTGTTTAATATTGTTGTTATTAGAAAGCATTTATTTGCCTAAATCCTTTGTCCTGTTTTATTATAATCAGCTAACTAAAGGTAAAATCACAAATGACAGTTCAAGTTMAAGTATTTGTGATACTGACCTGTTTGGCCAGATC